CTCTTGTTGGAATGGCTTAGCGGCGCAGCTTCTAGAGACCATAGAACCCTAAGCCATAAACGTTAGCCGGCAATGCAACACTAGGTCCCACAGGGCCCACGGAACCGGTGCAAAGGAAGTCTTCGAATGGTTCTCGAAGGGCCCCCGCAGGTCCTGGAAGGGTCCTTGAAAGGGTCCTCGAACGGAAGTTTCTGAAACTTCACTCAATGCTTTAGACGGATGTTAGGCGGGTTCTATGCGGCTCGGGTTTCGCGCTCTACCATGCGAAGGGCATGGTGCTAGACGCAAGCATCTGGAAAGCTACCTCGAACGCAAGCCCTATAAGCCCTACAAACCTTGAATCGCTATAAACCCTATAAGCCCTGAAACCGTACAACCCTGTAGGTCTTATGAACCCTTTGACTAAGCCCTAAACCCCAGTGCCCTAAACCATAAATCCGAAACTCCTAAATCCTAAACCCTAAACCCCTATAGGCCCTCTAAGCCCTAAGTGGCAGCCAAGATGCAGGAGAACCAGCAGTTCCAAGCATGCTGCATGGAATCGGCGCCCGTCTGCAGCTCCAAATGCCTGGGGTTTCGGGTGTTGGAGTTGTCGGGTTTGGGGCGCAGAACTTCTTGAAGTTCAGGGTATTTATGGGAGTTGAGATCTTAAGGGTCTTAGGATGTAGGGATTTTGTCCTGAGGATTTTCGAGTTCGCCCATTGCTTGAGTGGGCGTGTACACGGTTTAGGGCTTCATAGAGGCCACGAGGGCTACGTCGCGTTGACTTAGATGCTGGGTTCATAAGCCCAGAAAAGTGTACACTTTCAGTTTTAATAGTAGGTAATGTTATCCCAAAAAGTGTAAAGTGTATCCACTCAGCTACTGAGTTGAAGGTCACCTGTAGGGTCTGAGTTGCTTTTGGAAGGCAGCTGCATACTGCTGCTAGAAGAGTCTGAGGCATATCCGCGCTACCCTGAACCCAAAACCCTAGAACCCTAGAACCCTAGAACCCTAAACCCTAAACCCTAAACCCTACACCCTAAACCCTAAACCCTAAAGGAGTTTAGGAGATTTTTCTTAGAAGTTGACCGACTTCGAGGTTTCCCGGATTTGGCGACTGAGGCTTCACGGTTTAGAGTTTAGGCTTCACGGTTTAGGGTTTAGGGTTTAGGGCAGTTTAGGGCTTAGTGTTTAGGGTTTAGGGCAGTTTAGGGCTTAGTGTTTAGGGTTTAGGGCTTAGGGCTTAGGGTTTAGGGGTTTAGGGTTTAGGGTTTAGGGCTTAGGGTTTAGGGTGGCTTGGGGTCCCCAGACACTCCAACATCCCTCAATTAAGTAATGTACCCTAAACCTGATCCTACTATAGTTTAAGGAATACTCTTTGTTCTGTTAATTAAGGGATATTGGAGTCTATGGGTCCCTCATCGCGATGCCACACCGATCCGATGGCTGGGCGGCCTATTCTTTCAGACATTGGGGGGGGGGTCCAACCTGCAACCCTTTTTTCCTAAACCCCAAAACCTAAGCCCAGAAACCTAAACCCTAAACCCCTAAAACCTAAACCCTAAATCCTAAACCCCAAAAACCTAAACCCTAAACCCCTAAACCCTAAACCCTAAAGAAAAACGCAGAACCCCCAACCCGGGGTTTAGAAGTTCGCGTTGATGGCGGAGACGCCAGCCTTTGACACTTAAACCGGTTTAGGGTTCAGTTTAGGGTTTANNAGGGCTTAGGGTTTAGGTTTAAGGGTTTAGGGTTTAAGGGTTTAGGGTTTAGGGCTCAGGGTGAAGCCTTGTCAGCACACCCTCCCCTAAACCACCCAACAAAAATCGCTATCCCGAAGCGGCAGCACCACAACCGTTTACCGTCAACACATGAACCCCAAAACCCTAAACCCTAAAACCCCAGGAACCAAAACCCCCAATCCCCTCCCTGACCTGCTTGAACATGTCCCCCTTTTCGAACCCAGGCTCTGCCCTAAACTCTTTTGCTTCCAGGACTCTTGCAAGCAGCCGGGAAATTCCACAAGACTGCCCTACACCCTAAACCCTAAACCCCTAAAGCCCTACACCCCTAAACCCCTAAACCCTAAACCCCAAACCCCTAAACCCCTAAACCCCTAAACCCCTAAACCCCTGAACCCCTAAACCTATGTCCCCCTAAATTCTGAACCCTACAAGGGAGCTCTTGAAGGAGCCCTTACAGGAACAGAACCTTGGAAGGAAGCCTTACAGGAACCTTCAAAATTCAAAGGGCCTCTTACATGAACCCTTAAAGGATCCCTAAAACCGGGTTCTTGTTCAGGGATTCAACTTAAGTTAATAGGGATTTCGAGTAAGTAAGATGGCTTCTTTATTATGGGAACTTAAACTAAACTCCTTAACAAGAACCCAGAAGCTTACTTCCCCAACAAGCCAGGAAAATAAAAGGTCAAACTTTCAGGTTACTAGTAAACTATAAAGCCAAAAACTTTATAAAGGTTGGGTGTTTAGGGTTTAGGGTTTAGGGTTTTTGTAGTTGGGTATTGGAGAACTAACAAGAACCCGGAAAAACCCTAAACCCTAAACCCTGAACCCTAAACCCTAAACCCTAAACCCCAAACCCTGAACCGAGATGCCACAGTCCACCCAGGGCCAGGCCAGCCAAGGCCTTCGTTCCCGTCAGAGTCCCGGAAGATCCATCGGCTGTTCGCCACTCTCCTTTTTGAGTTTGGGTTTAGGGTTTAGGGTTTAGGGTTTAGGGTTTAGGGTTTAGGGTTTAGGGTTTAGGGTTTAGGGTTCTCAGACACAGCAAACCGCTTAGGCTTTGAAAACATACCTTCAATTGCAAATGGGGTCCTTTATATTCTGCTCTTCAGAGTGTTTACGGTTTTTCGGGGTTCAAGGCTTTAGGGGGCTTGGGTTTAGGTATTTTTCGGGCTTAGGAGTTGCAGAGTTCGCAGAAACACACCTTGCACCACCGAGGGCCCTGAATACGACTCGAGGTAGATGGCCTAAGTCAGGGGTTAACTTGGTAGTCTTCCTTCAAGGTTTAGGGGTCTCAGAGTGGTTCAGAAGGTTTCAGACCGGCTTATAAGGGTTGTATGAAAGTTTCGATTTTGGGCTGCGGGTTTCAGGGTTTATGAGTTCGGGCTCCGCGTTCAGGGTTTCAGAAACGGCGGCGAGGGGGGATTGTGATTAAGGAGCTCAAGGTTTCTAGTCTCCGAAAGAAAGGGTTTCGGCGCTCACGCTCGGACAATCCAGGCGAGGGACGTGGTATGAAGCCCGAGAAGACAAACACGCACTGTCACCACCGAGCGTGGCTGGAAAGGCAATGACAACAAAGCCCTCAATCAAACAAAGCTTTCGCATGTAGGGGCCTTAATAACTAGAATAGGGTTTTGGGGCCCATTCTACTATAGTTATTATAGTAAGGAACAAACTGTAGAGGTAATTATTAAGGCCCCGACATTACTTGACCTGCCCTTCCTCCACCCCAAAAACCTGGACGAAGAGCTCCCTAGTTCAGGATATCGAGGCTTTTGCAGGGAGTCGCCGCTGTAGAGAAGGCACCGAACCCGTCTGATGTAATGTAGAGGCCTTAATAATTAGAATAGGGCTTCGGGGGTTTATTATCATCAGTGCGGTAAAACATACCCACAAACCCTATCCTAATTATTAAGGCCACCACAATTAATAATTAGACAAGCTCCTCCAAGTCCGATGTGTCGGTTTATGATTTAGGGGCAAGTGTTTCCAAAGCTGGAAGCTTCGTTATCTTGGTTGCGTGCACTACACGTACCCAGGGAACCCCCATAGCCGCTGATGAACTTGTGACTGCTATTCGACTACTCCTCCTCTTCTCGAAAGTACTTACACTGACAAACCGTACCTATGAACACAAGCGCAGGCCCCCGGGCATCGACCCTTCTGTGTGTGTGCGTGTGTGTGTGTGTGTGGGTGTGTGTGTGTGTAGAGGGGCTTCTTATGATCATGTAGGATATAGTCTTTAGTGAAGGTGTGGCAGCTCTGTAGGTTAGGGAATCATACTTCGCATTCATCAAGGGATAAGAGCTTCACAGAAAAAGGGCTCCTAAGCTCAACCCACCATAGCTGGATCCTTACTAAGAGGGCTACTATGAAAAAATGAACTAGGCCCCGAAACTTCCAAGACTCCACGAGTTCACGACATGAAACTCTAATCCGAATCCCCAGACCAAAAGCCCCCAAACCCTATAACACCCGAAAAGAACCCTTTAAAGGAACCCTTCAACCCCTAAGCAGCGCAACGGCCAACGCCCCTCTCCGTCCTGTGATCTCCAGGCCGGACTCTGCGTAGGCCACGTGGGCATCCACATAGGAGGACATGAACCTGGAGGAACAAAAAGAGTTCTGTCCCTAGGGTTTATGATTTAGGCTCTGCTTTGTCCCTAGGGTTTATGATTTAGGTTTTGTTGTTGCTGTGGCTCTGCGGATGCGGTTGTGGTTGCGGCTGTTGTTGCGGCGGTGCTTGCTTACAGAAGCGCCTTGCTCCCGGGTTCACTTGGGTCTTTGTTTCAAGGCTTGTAGAGCTTGTCGGGCTCGAGGGTCTAGGTTTAGAGTTTAGGGTTTAGGGTTTAGAGTTTAGGGCTTAGGGTTTAGGGTTCAGGGTTTAGGTTTTGGGGCCTATAGGGTATCGGGCTTCGGGTTTGGGGAAGTTCGGAGCTTAGGCTTCCGGTGCGGCTACGACACGATGTGATTATGATTGCCGTTGTCCTGACGGCTTCACTTAGGGGTTTACAGCTTAGGGTTTAGGACCCCAAGTCCAAAACCCTAAACCTCAAAAAGCGCGTCCAAAGCCCCTATATCGTTTGTCTTGCCGTTGCCAGTTCTTGCCGTTGCCAAATCCTGTCGTCCTACTGCTGCCGCCCCTGCTACAAAGCTACTCCTACCACTGCGGATGCCACCAGGATGCTCTTGCCTTTGAACACCTGTATAAACCTTGACCACAGACAGCATGTAACAACACCACCACATCCCAAACGCGTTACTACGGCAGCTTTCGTAAAGTTCGTCGGGTTCGTGTCTGTCTGTCTTCACCGCATCTCACGCCCGTGTTGGCAAACCCTAACCCCACGATCCCCCAAGTTTCAAGCCATTCATTCTCGAGGGCATCGTGCCAGCGCTTAGGACTAGGAGCCCTCAGTGCGTGTGGCATCAACATCCCATGACTCAACAAACTAAACCCGCAAACCTCAGTTTTTTTTTTGCTGAGGTTTAGGGTTTAGGCTCCATAGGCCCACAGGCCCAAGACAGGAAGCCTTCGGAGCGTCTGACATGGACAAGGCTGCTTCTGTCACGGCGTACCGGATCCAGGGCGTATTTCTGTGTCGTAGGCTTGCCTTAACCCTCCGAAAAACATGTATCCCTGAAGTCTTTAAGGTTTAGGGTTTAGCCCTTTACTTCCTAGACCGTTGAGAGGGCATGTGGGTGGTTCTCTAAATTAGGGTCGCTTTTTCGCTGCCCAAAGTATGTATGGCACCCCCCCATAACAAGGACCCTAAAAGGGACCCTAATTTTGAGAACTACCCATGTAACAAATATCCTAAACCCTAAACCCAAAACATCAACAACTCATAGCGAGCTACGAGCTTCGGATAGAGTTGCGGTTTTCTGGAATCGGTATGATGGCTGCAGGCTGCAGGCAGCAGCATCGTGGGTTCACTGGGGATTAGAGCTTAGGCTGTTGAGGGTTGGGCGCTTGCACCTTGCTTTTAAAACTTAGGTACCAAAAAGTCCATGCCGCAGGTGTATGTTGGGTATCCCGTTGCGTGGGTGGCTTGCCGAAACCAGCTAGGCTGTCCAGAAACCTCTAAACCATTCTAAACCCCAAACTCTGTGCCGAGGCACCCTGCTGCCACAACATCAAAGTTCAGATCGACCTCAGGGCAACGTTAGATCCCTTTTCCCTCAGACCGCTAGTGGCTAGACCACTAAGCCAAGGCCTAACAGGTACTGGGGAAATCTCTTGATTTGCCCGAAATCCTAACCCCTCAATTCTCAATCCCTTTACCCTCAACCCCCAAAACTTTCAAAACCTCAAACCCTAATCGTAAAGGGGCATTCCTCTTTTGAGCCATGTTTCGTGCTTCAGCGGCCCAAAGAGGAGAGAAACGGAGGCTTAGGATTTACAACGAGGGTTTAAGGTGTCACGGGATTTTAAGTCTTGTGATCTTGTTTTGAACGTCCCTTGTCGGGTGTACACTTCAGATTTTAGCTTTCGTCTTACGCTTTGAAATGTAGCTATAGTTAAATAAACAAATCTATAGTCTATATCTATATATATATATACACACACACACTTAGACCAAGTAGAGTTTATGCACCGACGCCAACAGCCTGCACCAAGCTCCATTTAGGGTTTAGGGGTTCAGGGTTTCGGGTTTAGGGTTCAGGGACAACTACAGGCTCCGAACAATCTGCGCAATACTTTGTACAGGTTTGTGCTGTTTCAAGCAGGTTTACTACCAAGGGGAAGCGATTACTGAAGCTACATGAACTTATGGTCGCGCTGCAAAACCAGTAAAAGCTAAACAATGACTATCAAACCTGAACCAGAGACTCCAATATCCCTCAATTAAGGAATATGCCTTAAATCATATTAAGGATCCTACTATAGTTTAGGGAATATTCCTTACTTAAGGGATATTGGAGTCTCTGGGAACCCCGGGCCCCTGCTGACCTGGTGAGGTATTAAGGCCCAGAGCCCCTTCTCTTTGTTTAAGGTTTAGGGTTTAGGGTTTAGGGCTTAGGATTTAGGGTTTAGGATTTAGGGTTTAGGGTTTAGGGTTTAGCTTGGCTGACTTCTGAACACCTCCAAAAAGTTAAACTTTTAGTCTCCTTATTATGGTTCATATAGAAACCCAAAAAGTTGAAGTCCTAAGAGCCAACCAGAAGAACACCAAGTTTTGTGAGGAGGGGCTGCAGTCAGGGGCTCCCAAACCAACGAACGACCTATGAACACCCTAACAACCTTTGAGACATAGGAAGCTTCTTACGCAACCGGCAAAAAAACATGCCAGAACACTTTCAATTTGGATTCAAAGCCGTACAGCCTCTCCTCCTCCTCCTCCTCCTCCTCCCTGGGCACCAGAATACGAACACCCAGCCTCGGCAGCGCTCGTCTCGGCAGCCTTTTCGGCCCGTCCTTTGCCTTGCCAGCCAGCCTCCATCAAAGGATTCGGCAGCTGCTGCCTGAGAGTTTGATCTTTACGTTTCGGGGTTTGGTGTTGACGGTGTTTGTTTTGGAGCTTTGGGGTTTCTAGGGCACGTTGGAATTTCTGTTAGCAGAGTTTGAGGGTTGTTTGGCACTGGTTTGTGAGAGCTCTGGAAAGCATGCTGATTTTCCTCGAATCACTCTTTAACATACCAGCGCAGACCAATGGCGAGGGTAGCAGAAGTAACGACGGTGAAGAGCACTATGCATTCCACACAGCATAATCCTGTCAGCATAATTGAAACGAACGGCTTTGCCTATGGAAGCTCAGTAAGCGGGACGTTTCATTGTTTGCGCTTCTTTGCGTTCACATGATTGCACGGTCGGAGCTCTAACACTGGGATCTTGTATGAGATAAACCCGAACCCGTCGAGCCCGAACCCCAAACCAGCTGCATGACGGAAGAACAATCTTGGCAAGTCCTAAACAGACCAGCTGAGCAAGATGCCCAAAGCCCCAAACACCTGAACTCTAAAGCTCATTTTCCTAACACCCCAAAAGGTCATAAACCTAAAATTACAAAACGGAGTACTAGCCTTGAGCAGTGAACCCCCAAACCCAAGCGTCAAGGGGAGGTTTAGCATTCGGATGTCGCAGGGCAAGCACAGGATCGCGAGGCTTTGGGATTTAGGGTTTAGGCTATACGGGTTTACAGCTTTTAGGAAACCCTGAACCCTAAACTGCGCATTTTAAAACCCTAAACCTGGAACCCTAAACTGCGCATTAAGAACCCTAAACCAACCCTAAACCCTGAACCCTAAATCCTAAACCGTGCGTTCAGGGTCAAGTTTACAGTTGAGGGGAAAGGTGACTTAGGCAAATAGATCTACATGTTGGCCAACTACGTCTGGTGGCAGGGCGCTGTAAAGGTTTAGGTTTCAGGGCCGCGGAGATTAGGAGTTTCGACTTACACACTCGCACGAGTACGAGTTTAGGTGCTGGTACTGACCAAATTCAAACACAGATGTGACCTTCACCCGAATGTTTATCAGAATGATGTTCCAATAGACCTCAGTATGCCAAATACAGGTCCCTAAACCCTAAACCCGAAACCCCAAATACAGGTGCAGTCGAAGCTACGAGAAGGCCACATAGTTGGCCCTGGTTGATGGCAAGCCTCTCGCGCCATGTGGGTAGTTGTCAAAATTATGGTCCCTTTTTGGGTACCTAGATATTAGGTGCCGTATTATATTAGGGACCCAAAAAGGGACCATAATTGTGACAACCACCCATGTGTCAAAAACGCCCTTCTGTGGAATCCAGGCAGGCCAATGCCTCCTTGCCTATCGCCTCGATCCTTAACATCAGTAAGATCAACTTCTATTTGATCTTAGTAGTCTTAGCATGACCCTGCAATGACTATGGTTCTTGTCCTTTAGCGGAACAGAACAACTCAGGCTTCACCTGCTGGACCATGCACCCTACACCGAGTGTTGACCGATTGTGCCAGGCAGCTTCCAGAGTAGTCGTCCGTCAGTAGCAGTCGCAGTAGCAGTAGCAGTAGCAGCAGCAGCAGCAGCAGCAGCAGCAGCAGCAGCAGCAGCAGCAGTCGTCGTTGACGTCGTAGCAGAAGTAGTCAGAGTAGGAGTAGGAGTAGATCAGGAGTCACAGGATGATTCGTGCTTAGGAAAACGAGTCGTCGTCCTTTGTTCTTGACTCAGTCGTTGCCAGTGACTCGGCCTGCCCATTCGGAGTCCGTCAGGGGGACCAAGCCCAAGGCCTTCGGATCCTTATGGCGCTGCTTGAGTTGGATCGGTTTTGGGTTTAGGGTTTAGGGTTTAGGGCTCCTCCAGGAACGACACCATGAACCATCACATACACTCTCCATCTTGCACGGGTGCACTCTGCTAGCGCGGACTGGGTGTGTACATCTTTCGTTGCAGGGCACCTCTAGAGTTTGCAGTTGCAGAGGGCCTTCTCATTGTTTTTTCAAGACGGCCTGCTAGGGTTCAGGGTTTAGGATATGTGTGTATATATACATAACGCATATGTACGAATTGCTGAGCTAAATGAGACAACAACTGCTTACCGTAAAACAACCGGCGAAGGCCTCGCCTCAGCCCCGAACCCCGAACCTCAATCCTCTCATGCCAAATGCCGTCATACTCCGCGAGCCTGACTTGATGCACCCAGACATCGCTCGCACAGCCCATGCCGAAACAGCAAAAGGCACTAATGACACTAATGGATCCTGCACTCCATACTGCATCCTGGTCTCTCAGTGAAGTCATGTCTCTAATTAACAATCGTAATGCTCATCAACATCATCAGCAACCATCAGGAAAGGCTATCATAATCTTAGTAGCAAAACGAGTGGTGGTGAGGTGATGGGAGCACGCAACCGTTCAGTTGTGAAGACTGGTGACATGAAACGTGCAATGTTCTTGCTATAGTACCTCTGTTTTCCTGTACATACCCCTACAGGTTCGCAAATGTTACCTGCTCGACTACTGTAATTACTCCCGAGACCGATTCCTAAACCCTTGTACCCTAGAGTCCTAAACCTAAATCCCTTCACTATCCCGGTGCAGGCACACCACTTTGAGGATGAGCGGACTCTGTACGCAGGGATGTACGTAGATATGATGCATAGCAAAAGCGCTGTATCCCTAAGTAGAACCCTTAATGGAATCCCTCAAGGCACCTATGCCGCCCTGCTTACTGCTGTTCCGCTACCAGTAGCTTGTAAGTACAGCTTGGAAACCCCAAACCCTAAACCCAGCAGCCTGTAAGTACAGCTTGGAAACCCCAAACCCTAAACCCAGTAGCCTATAAGTACAGCTCGGCAACCCTAAACCCTAAACCCAGTAGCCTGGAAGTACAGCTTGGAAACCCCAAACCCTAAACCCAGTAGCCTGTAAGTACAGCTTGGCAACCCTAAACCCTAAACCCAGTAGCCTGTAAGTACAGCTTGGCAGCTACTTTGACCACTTCGTCCTCGCCATACCAGCGGGCTCCGCGCTTGGATTCGACCTGGGCGTGTCGGGCTTCTGAGGCTTATCGTGGACATTAGTTTAGGGTTTAGGGTTCAGGGTTCACGGTTTAGGGTTTTGGGGTTAAGGGGTTTAGGGACTACAGTATGAGGGCTGCTTGAATTGAAGGCTTCTCAGAGGGTTTAGGGCCTTGCGCATGATTCAGTGCAATGTGCCTTAATAATTAGAATAGGGTTTCGGGGGTGTATCCTACCATAGTTATAATAAGGAACCCCCCCCCAAAAAAATAATACAGGTAATTGTTTAGGCCCCTATATGAACATAATTGAAGGCTGCAAGACACTGTCAGACTCTAAGGTCCGGGGGTTTTTCAAGCGGTTGCAAGAAGTGTTACCCTACATTCTTAGAGCCCTAAACCCTGAGGGAGCCGTTGAGCCCTACACCCTAAACCCCAACCCTTAAAGCCTAAACCCTTTTTTGAAACCGGACTTGATGACTGCCAGCAACCCTAAACCCTTAACCACAACCCTTAACCCTTAACCCTAAACCCCAGCCCTGAAACCCTAAACCCTAAACCCCAAACCCCAACCCTTACGGGTTTAGGGTCTTGGGGACTCTGCCAAAATCCTGAGCCTTGAAGATCCACAGTAAGAGTATACTAGGCCTCCAAACCCTAAACCCAGACCCTGAGATGAAACTCCTAACTGGTAGATTCCTAAAATAGGGGACCCGAATATAGTACCCTAAATAGTAGGATCCTTATTGTAAAGATCCTCAAAATAAGGTACCCCTATTTTCGAGAACTCCCACTTCCAAGAGCCTTCTCGGTTGAGGGTTTCGGGCTTCGCTTCAGGGTTTTTCAAGGTGTAGGGTTTAGTGTTTAGGGTTTAGGGGTTTAGGGTTTAGGGTTTAGGGTTTAGGGTTTAGGGGTTTTACAAGCAATCGAACGCCCGAGCTCCCGGCATGCACCTGGCCGCGACTGTGGTTGATGTTGGTGACTTTCCCGGCCTTCGAATCAATGTCGTTTGGGGTGTAGGGCATCTGTGGCTTACAGAAGTTGCAAATTGAAAAGCCCGTGAAACTACAGTGCTACAGGGAAGATGTAACCGTCACGAACCAGATGTTTATGCCCGCGAGCCGGGTTACGGCTCGTTCAGCGGCCACGCAGGGTTTACCCATAAATACGTAGCGAGAAGCTCTTGAAGCCAAAAACATGTCGTCTTAGGATTTAAGGCCCTTGGTTCAGGTTTAGTTGAACGGCTTAGAAGCTAAACAGGCCTAACACATCTTCACACAATCCCAATTGATCCTGCGGCCTCATGCCCCCGTGTTTGAGCATCCAGCAGTTTAGAAGGCATGGTGGAGATGTGTGCTGCAGATCTACACAAACACGTTAAACACGCCGGAGATGCTGCACAAAAACTCGACACTATACAAGCCACATGGGATACACGTCTCAGCAGGAACAAGAAGCCAGTGCCCATGCAACTCTCACCCGTTCGAAAGGCAAGAGCTCACAAACAGAAAACAAAAAACCGTGGATGACAACGGACGACAGCTCAAGCTACAGATCCCCTGAGAGCAAAGACCTGTGCAATCACTGCGCCGGCTTGTCATGGACAAACTATTGATGCGCATCAATGTACTCACAAAGTAATGCTCGACGGATGTTGCCGCCACATCAACGTCTGTAAAGGAGAACCCCTAAATCCTAAACCATAGCCCTTAAACTGTGTGCCACTGATGACATGACAGCTTCAGCACTTATACGGTGTCAAGATATCAAGTCAAAGTCTGGATTTAATTGCTGGGCTTGATCGTTCAGGGCTCCTTTAGGTTTAGGGTTTAGGGCCTTTAGGGATCTACAAGGGGACTATTAAGGCACTGAATGACAGACGACGACTCGGCGGGCCAAGCGCCATTCGACGGCTTCCAGTCTGCCTTTCAGTTGCTGAACTTCCCAGTCCGTCATGCCTTTGAAATTTTCCGTCTGGGAGGTTTAGGGTTTAGGGTTATTCGTTCGGCGTTCCCGGGAAGCATATAGCTCCTGCCACAAGCGCCAGGGCCATCTCCATTTCTTGCCGCGGAACGAAGGGTGCTCTGCAGCAGCTTCTCTTCTGCTTTACAACTCGTTCATCCACAAAGCCCTTTCGAAACTGGACTGCCGGACTAGAAACCCCTAAAGCTCTAAACGCTTAAACCCTTAAACCCTAAACCAAAAAACGAAAGCGGGAGGAAGATCTCCGGCAGAGGCAAACCGACTCATGTAGTGGACTGCCTCCCAAAAGACAGAGGGGCCTTGATAATCAGAACAAGGCTCTTCAAAGGGGGTTGCTATAAGGGTGCAAGAATTTAGGGGCCCTCAATGAATCAGAATCGGGTTTTGGGGGCTACTATAGTACTACTATCCTGAGGAGCCCTCAGGAATGAAAGTGTCATCTCTGCAGGGCTCTTTCTTGCGTCCTTATGCCCTCCCCCCACGTCATTTGTCCTTGAACGAAGACGACTCCCAGCCCGAAATCATCAGGCTCGCAGTCCCTACGCACCGAAATATCTTAAACGTGTAGTTTACGGGCTGAGTACCCTAGCCCCAAAAAAAGGTTAACCTTTTCAGTTATAGTAG